GATAAAACTTGTTGGAAGAATCACTGAACACAGTTTCAAAAAGGCTTTAACAAAAAGAAAATTCAATATTACACTTGTTAAGACGAAACTTCAGGACACTAGAAAAGGACAGGAAGGGCGAGAGGGAGACTCTAAGGAGGAGAATGCAGGTAAATGAGTATTAAGTTTCCTCTACCCACTGAAGAAGAAAAGAAATACCATAACAGAATAAAACCACAGTCTGATAAGCTAATTGCTTTGGAAATAGGCATTTGCTTCTTAATGTCCTTAACTTAAATTTTTAGGTAAGGGGTATCAAATAATTGACTTATGGCATGACGTTTACTGAAAAATAAAAAAATAAGGGAAGGTTGTTTAGTAAGGCTACAGCATTAAAATTACGTTATGTTCAACAGCAATGTAGTGAGTATGTCACTTCCTCTGTCTTTCCCCTGGCTTCTAGGAAGCATATCAGCATCACCCACCACAGACAAGCCGAGGCTGCAGTGTCACAGAAGAGGGGCTGCCGTCGGGAGCAAAGTTCCAGAGGTCTAGTATCCACTGAGCCCCCAGCTGGTCACTGCCCTCTCTGGGTTTCATTTGTCTCTTTTCTCAAGCTAAAGATCAGATGTTCAACCTTCTCAAAACTGCTTTAAATGAAAATCTGGGGAATCTGAAATGACTGATGACCTTTAACTTCTCTTTTTGGAGGAAGCAATTAGCTTAATAACTAATGAGAAAAATGAATTTTTGAAAAAATTTCAAATCTATAATGAAGCCCTCATCTCTTAATATGAAATCATGAAATGCTTATACACTGCAATAGCTACTACAGCAGTAGTATACTGGGCCATACAGTTTCATCAACTCTTTGAGGAGTTGACATCACTAGAGAACACTTCTTGCAAAAAGCAGAATCTTTTCTTCTGAAGCTTCCAGCCAAGACTCCCTTCCTACACTACAGTGGTTTCTCTCTACCCAATGAGCCATTGTTGGCCAACTCAGAGATGTCTTTGCTCAGAGCTGATCCCCCATTATTCTTCCACCTTATTTTCCTGCCCTACTACCGTGAGTAGTTGCTAAACCATCCTAATTCCATGATTTATTTTACCCTATTCTAGTGCCTTGAAGAGTACGCAGAATCTGTGAAGCAGTAATCTTTCAGAACTCAAAACTAATTTTAATTACTTTAAATCATCTAATCATCTTAATGATTACTTGGGGATAAACATTCTCACTCTTCTCCACAAACTATCTCATTCCTTTTTCTTTCACCTCACACACTGATTCTGAGTTTAATTCAGCACCTTGTTAGAGACTCCAGTTTTTTTTTAGGTAGCATGCTCTGGGCACATATTTGATATGAAGCAAATTTTATGAGTAACAGCAGTTTTCATTTAAAAAATGCACATAAATGTGCATTCGTTGTCAGTTGTAACTTATCATAAATTCTCTGCAAGTATGAAGTGTAATTAGATTAACACTTTTCTATGTTTTTCTTAACTGAGTTTTGATCCAAATTTACAAATGAGAAAACTAAGACTCAGAAAGAATAAGTGACTTATTCAAAGTCACACAACTGAAATATAAAGGGCAGAACTTGGACAAACACCCAGGTCTTCTGCTCCTTTCATGCTATAACATGCTCCTGTGATTATGAACATTATTAAATTTTGAAAGGTCTTTTAAATTTTGAAAATTTTTACTTCTATAGTTATAGAGTGTATTTCCACTGAAACTAATAAAGTTATGTCTTGTTTTTTCTATGAATGGGCCCTCTTTTGTTTAAGTTTGCCTAGAAGTGAAAATAATACTGCCTATTTCCTAGAGAATACCTTCAAGAGCAGAGACCACAACTCCAACTTTATATCCCCCCACTCCCACAGTACTAAGTAGTGCTGGGCACACAGTAGATGCATGATAAATATCTGATCTCATATGAATAAATACAGTAGAGTTCATTAAAAAGGCAATAATTAGATTAAAAAATAGAGCAGTATTCAGTGCTGAATATTTAAGTAGTGATACAGATGAGCTTGTTTTCTGAGTTTGTAAGATGGTTTTGGTCCGAATTTTCAATTCTGTATGCTTTAAAAATCAACTGATGCTTATTAAGTTCAAAGTATTTCTAGGATATTGGACTATTATGAACTGCCAGCTTTGTAGAGTATACATCATTAATCAATACTGGAGAGCTTAGTAGTATGTGATATTATGAATTAGAGTGCAGTGGATCCCAGGTTAACAGAAGTCACTTATTTGAATCAATAAAGGAAAATGATTACCTGCTACAATTAAAATTGCATATGTTAAATGACAATTGTTGGTCATTATTTGTATTTGCTTATAACTAACTAAATGCCACCACTGCTGTCTTCCTAAGTTGCAGTGTCTGTAGGGTGGTATTATTTACAAATGAGATGGAGGGAACGATGAAAGGTTATTACAGTCGAGTCCAGATGCTGGCAGCAGTCACTTTAAAGTTTACTCATTTCCACAAGATACAGGGATGCAGCACAGTCAGTGATTTTATAAGAGCTTTGACTATGGAGGTCATTGGATTCAGTGGCTGAATTTTTACCAATTCACAAAAAGTTTACATGTATTCTATTTTAGTGGTTATTTCATCTTACTGAAAGGTTTTAAAATTTAGCCAGTTAATGGGCTAACACTGCCAAAAATGAATCCACAGTACCTTCACTTAAAAGTTCCATATACTGGCTACTTAAAATTAGTATTTATTGGCCTAAGTACACAGGGCAGATACTGGCCACAATTTTAATTCATAAAAATAAATTATTTTCATTTTTATGCCTAAAGGAAAAAAAAAGTCAGGTAATTAAAAATACTTGGAGCTGTAAAAAATGTAAAGACAACAAAAGAACCCAGAGCATAATGTAGCTGGAAAAGAAATGATATTCTCATTTCTAAACTAAAACCAAAACATGTGTACTATAACACTAAAACGGTTTATCTACAGAAAACCAAAACATCACAGTACTATATTGTGTGGGGAAGGTGGGAGAATCACGCAAACCCACATTTTTGATATCTTGAGATCTGATGACCAACCAAATGACTGACTGTACCTAATTCTTACCTAGTTTTGGCATAGTGTAGACAGAGTTTTAAGTCAGCCTATTATAGACATTTAGTACTTCCATAAAAATTCTTCCTGAAACCCAGATAAGAATCAGACAGTGGTCCAGTCATTTAAACCAAAAAGGCTAATTCATAAGATATATCATATATATTCCATGAAATATTGGAATGAAAGAGAGTAAGAAATATTTCTCTTTGAAACCATGAAAGACAATGATATAGACTTCTTTTTTCTTAGCTCTTCAAGTGATACTTAAAAGGGAAAGTCCTGCTACCTTGCTGAGTGAAAAAAAAAAAGACAAATCCATAATATGGCCATGTTTCTTTTCCATAAAAATAAACTTTATCCAATTTGCCTGTATTTTTTGTAGGAACTTATAAAATGCTCTATTGTCAGAACTGGAAATATCTCCACCCCACCCCCCCAAAAAACAAGAAATTACTTGTTTTTATGTCACAGGCGGAGAGGAAAACATAAGCTATTGCAAGCAGCTGAAAACTGGCATTTAGTAAAAATTGTGCACAAAGGAGATAAATGATTCCTTAAAGCTCAACCGGATACTTAACCTCACTATGCACTGGTTAAGTTAGGACAGATGGAAGAAACTGCAGAAAGCACCCATTTTACTCCAAATCTACATCTTAAATAACGCTTTAGAAGGTTAAGAAATAAAAAACTAAACACACACACACACACACACACACACCCAATTCATCTACTCCAACATGCTTGCTTCTATACAACTTAATATAGTATAGTCTTATATTACGGCTTATTATGCAGATTTGAATATTCTAAGTCAAACCATATTTCATATTTTCCAACAGATTAAGTATACAGAATAAAAGCATCATAAAATATAACCTCTGTGGCAGGTGCTGGCCCTGCCCTCCAACACCAGCAGTATGAAGAAGGCCCTCTGGAGTTACAAATGTATTTGGAAAACTACAAACATGACAATTTAACCAAACTTATAATACTTTTCCCACAAGTAGGGAAAAGATATTAAAGCTGTACTCTTTGGGACCCAGATATCATCACCAAAAGTGAAAATGCAAGAAGCCTATTTTTCTATTTAGAAGAAAACTGCAATGTCAAACGAAATGAGAAATGTGGCGTCTTGAATGTAGTTCTTACACACTGGCTACGAAAGTGTTTCCCTGCAAAGAGAAGAGTCTTGTGTCATCACGAAATGAGGGGGAGTGCAGAGGGAAGGTGGGACATAGGTAATCGACCTGGATAACAGTATGCACCTTGGATGTTAGCAAAAGCGAAGCTAATAGCTTATAAAAAACACATGAAATATATAAAATAAAATGATTTTCATATACATCTTAATTTAAAATAATTAATGCATCAAATCCCTGTTTAAGACTTTAACCTGAATAGCAAATTTAAGAGTCCAGACTAGTTACTGTTACCGTGGCTCTTCCCCACGTGTAACACACACACTATCAAAAATAATTTAAAAACCTTCACATTCTTAAATCTAAATTAGTGAGATATTTCTCCAGAAATCTTCCAAATAAATAGCTTTAAAAAAGAAAGAATTTAAAAGCTGTTAACTTTAAAAAAAAATCTGTTAAATAAATTACTGATAATTCTTTACCCTATCACTGAAAATAAATCAAAACACTACCAACAACAAAATGAAATTCAAGCCCTGACAAGAGACCCTTTCCAGTTCAAGGTCTCTTTTTAAGGTTCTACCCTCCTTCTTCCTCTCCCCACCAGGTCCAAAATGGTTATTGCTGAGTGGGTGTGGCACAGTGAAAATGCAGCATCAGGTTCATTTTGTTCTTCAGGCAGTGTTCCCTACTGTACATGCAAACTGCTTCAGTGGGGCGCGTGGAAGCTCCAGGCTCCCGCACCCCAAGACCGGTCTCCGAAGGGAATAGTGGCCACGGCCACAGCTCCGTCACACAAAGAAACGTGCGTGGCCATTTCTGTTCAGTTTAAGGATCTTCCCAAGACGTTGCTTGGCTGTTGCCATTCCTTTTTTTGGACGTTTACCTACAAAATACAGCACACCAACAGCAGTGTAAGTAACAGTGAAAATCACAGTTGACAGTACCTGGAAGACTTAAAGCAGAACAACACGGCAGGCAAAGGCTTTCAGGCGTCTTGAATGGGTCGAGTCACATGCCTGGAAGTCCACTGCTTAAAAACCGTTCCAGCTCACCCACGAATTAAGGGCCAACCTCCTTCCTAAGACTTACAAGACTCTCCCCCGGTCTGAGCCCTGCCTACCTCTTCAGCACCAGCTCTTACCCGTCCTGCCTCAAACAGTGCTTCAGCAACGCAACTGCTTCCTACCTTACCCCGTGCTATTTCTCCCCTTTGTCCTGCGGGTCACGCTGTCTCCTTCGCCTTCAGTGCTGTCTACACTGTCCCCCCCACCTCAGCATGGCCAACCCATTACTGCCTTTCCAGGATCTACCTCCCCCTCCAGGAAACCCCTCCTGCTCCTCAGGGTTGACTGAGATACCTTCTTCTCTGTCCCCATAGTAATCTGAGCACCTGCTATCAGTGCTGCGTCCATACCCAGCAGGCTGTGAGCAATGACTGCAGAGACATGTCTATTTAACTTAACCTACACACATGTAACGTTACCTTTTGTTGCCTGGTTGCTGATAGGTGGTGGATTTGACGCAGGTCTCTTGGTGGGGTGAAGGGGCACTGAAAAGGAAGTCTCACCAACAGGCCTTTCTGGGCTTATACTGCCGTTACTTAGCTGGCATGCCCCTGATATCAAGCTTGAACTCTGCGTATACTTTGCATTCTGAAGGCTTGAGCCACTGCTGTCCACACAATTCCTACTTTGTACTTTCTGACTGATTTCTGATGAAACTTCCTTTTTGATGCATTTCTGGCCTCTGTTTAGATCCTAAGGAAGAAGGAAATAAGGCCAAATTTTTAGGGTTTCTTTAAGATAAGTAATAACAATTTGAGAGAGGGAAGAAGTAGATTACTGAACTTGGGTTTTCTTAACATGAAGTAGCCATAGATGACCCCTCCTGATGGTCATCTCATTCCAAAACCTAGTAGCTCTGAAGGATTCAGGTTTTGAAGATGCCTTGTAACTTAAGTTGAGACATCTTCAAGTCAAGAAGAAAACATTATAGATAGATAGATAGATGATTGGTGGGTCTTGAAATCAAAACAGAGAGGGTCCCAACCAGAATTAAAAAGAGAAAAGGAAAAGAACTTTCCATAAACTTGGAAAGAGCATACTGTAGCTGTACTGTTTCATGAAACTAGTTTTAAGTGTGTGTTTGTGTGTGTGTATTAAAGTGAATTTCTGATTCTGTAATGGTCAAGTTTTAAAAACAGCATTAAACACAGACTTGCTTTAAAAGTCTTACAAATACGCTTGAGCATGAAGAAACAGCTTTTCAATTTGACACACTTTTCTAATACCACTCCAGATTACAAGAAACAGAAATTCTATTTTCTCTAAGGTGATCTTGCTAATCATTTGTCTTCTACTTCTTTATTTTCAAACACAATTATAAAAGCAACAGCTAGGTTTAAATAACAGCTTATCTTTTAATACTAAATCCTATAATGCTGAGTTATAAATTTTGTAACCAGTGAGGCACTATAAAATCATACATTAATAAGTGAATTCTTAATAGTTAAGGAATTTCTTACCTGCCCTTTGTCTCTGGAGCATATCCTCCCATTAAAAGAACTTGTACTTGCCTTTAAAAAATAACTTGGTTCTTTCTCTTATTATAAAAGTAATTGACAAGTATTTAGAAAATATAGATAAGCCAAATGAAGAACATTAAAACCACCCATATTTCTGTTATTCAGAGAGCAAATGGGGTTGGGGAGGCTTGGAGACTCCACTGTGCCACCTAAGAGTTTTGATTCTTTCTTTGGTTGTCATTTTCCAAGGTCTGCAGCAAAAAGGTCACGCTGCTGCTGCTGCTGCTGCTGCTAAGTCACTTCAGTCATGTCCAACTCTGTGTGACCCCACAGACGGCAGCCCACCAGGCTCCTCTGTCCCTGGGATTCTCCAAACAAGAATACTGGAGTAGGTTGCCATTTCCTTCTCCAAAAAAGGTCATAGTCTTCCTTTTTTGGTGCTACTGGCAACGTTTTTTTTAAAAAGGTATTTTGGGGGTTCATTTTGTTTGGTATAAGCATTCATACACGAGAATCCTAAGACATGAAGTCTTAGGATCCATCTTCTCTTGGAGCAGTGACTCTTAATCTGGAGTTAACGAATGGTCTGGGGTGAGGGTGGGGCACAAACATGAGAAAAATGTAAGCACGAGTCATATTTATGGAGAACATTTTTTGGAAAGAAAACATTTTCCTGTAACTGTCATCAAATTCTCAAAGAAATTTGGTATCTAAAAATGCTCAATAAACAACAGCAGAGATTAAAAGGATCCTTGTGGTATTGTGGTACTTTTTTCCTTTCATGTTTCATTCTAGCCAGACATAACCTAAAGGTGTTGGCAGCCAGGAGTTTTTAACTGCTTTCTTAAATAAGTTGCTTTTTTCCAGATAACATTCTATCCATAAGCCTTTCATTGGTTAGTCAGAATCCCTAAAAATGGACAGCTGTTCAAATGTACATTTAATGATAATTGTTAAGCTTTCTGTATCTGGGGGTTGATTACTGATTGCAGTTTTAAAAACAAAAGCAAAAACAGAGCTAATGACAATCCTATTTCAATATTTCAAACCTTGAATATACCTGAAGATTAAATCTGGAAGTTGTATCAAATTGTTTAATCCAGGAAGAACTCCTCAAGTCTTGATCTTCAGTCTTGACATGATACCCTAAAGAGAAATTTTAATTAAAAATCTTCTCACAAACTGGATCTTAAAGAACAAAGTTAGCCTGCTGCTTAAAACTGAAAGTAAATTTATGTTGACATTTTATTTAAAAAATGAGCATGCTAACTCTTTATTCATATACTTTCACCATACTCCTTTCCCTCTCAACAACAAAACAGTCACCAGCTTGCAATCCAACATGTTAATTATTTCAATTCTCTCAAAGACTGTCTTTCTTTCTATGGCAGGTTTTGGGCCAGATGCTGGAGGACCTAGATCAAATTCTGTGGCCATCTGTTGTAGATGTAAAACCAAGTGCAATACAGTTTCTCTAAAAATAGTATATTTTCCCATACAGAATAAAGGCATATGTTTGCCTGAATCTGGCAGCATTTCCAGAGAAGCTTTCTTTTCAAGGGGCCAAAGAGATTACAGGAAGACAGAATGGTAAGTGGAAAGACAGAAAAATCCAGATTTGAACTTGAGACTTTTCATTACCAATGCAGCTTTAGGCAAGTTATATAACCTCTTTAAACCTGAGTTTCCTCTTATACAATAAGCAAAGATTTTGAAATCACGTGATCTAGTCTTGGATTCAAATTCCAGTCACTGAGTATCCATGTAAGTCTGGGCAAGTTAACTCCACTAAATCTTTTTTTCCTTACCTATTAAAGCTACATTACACACACCCAATGTGTCATTTCAAGAATTAAGTGAAATGAATGCCAAACTCCTGGCACATAGCTGACACAGCTAGGTGGGAATTAACATAATTCCTACAGGAGACTTCAGTTTTAATGTAGTACCATCTTTTCCCTAATCCTCCTCAGATTGTTAGGGAAACAAAATTTCTCCCTAAAGGCAGACAGAAGAGACCACTATGCGGCACCACTGATATTGCCACCCAGTCTTCTCTCTTTCCCAAAGCCTCCTTTGCAAGTAGGAGAGAATACCCTCAAGCAGAAACAGTTCCCTTCCATAAAAGGAAAAAGAGTGGATTGTTCAAATTTAGCACATCAATTAAGACACAAACATTCCCTCCATTCTGATCAGTTTATAAAAGGGAAACAATACTGTCTTGCAAGTCAGAGAACACAACTTCTTAATCCATTAATTTACATTTTAAGTTATTCTATTTGCATCTACCATTTGCCAACATTTTATATGTATATAGCCAATATGTCTAACACCATCTCCAACTGAAGATGTTTAATAAATATTTCTTGTTCACAGTCTCTAACCTCAAACTAGGATTACAGGGCTATTAAGGTGAGGGTTCTATGTTGTTTTTCAGAGACTTACAATTTATGTTTCTTACCACTTTCCACTGGCTTGTCACAGCGATACAACGGCCTGACCTCATGGTTACTGCTGTGGCAGCTGCTGGGGTCCTGGAGAGAGGGTCTCTCACCACCGCAGTCTGTGCTTTGTATCTGCCTTTGTAAACACGTGGAATAGTGCAACCCTGCCATAGACAGCATGCCCTGAATAGCTTCTTCCTCTGTGCTCGTCGAGGTAGGACATTCCCTGAAGGGCAGATCAGCAGAAAAGACAAGAACTTTCTTACTCAAAGGAAATATTTGGTAAAATTTAAAACCAACACACACACACACACACACATACAAAACAAAAACCCCAAAACAAAACAAACAAAAAATAGCAAATGTTTTCCTATCATTTATATCACATTGTAATAAGACCATCATCGTCAGCATGCCTACCTTTTAACTGGAATTTCGCTTCGAGATGGCTTCTGGCTCTTTTGAAGGAAGTTCCTCATCACATTAGATTCTTCCTTAAAGTTTGATGTTATCTCTTGTTTCTTTTCATCACCTGAACTTTCAGACTCTTCAGTGGTAAAATTATTTTTCTGAGATAATTAAATGGAGGGAAATCTATATAAGAAATCGGAACACGTTTGTACAAACTAACCAAAAACACTTTATCCATCTAAAGGGAAAGTGAGAACTTAATTATCATGGAATTATTTCTGTATTTCACATGAAAAAGTGGAAATCTCTAGTTACTGCAGTAACATAATTCCTTAGTTGAAAAAAAACCCCACAGAGTACAGGCTTTCTTTAATGCAAAATGAAATATAACCTATGAGGAAATATGAGAAACAGGAGAGCTGTATCTCCCTCTATCCTTTCCAAAATCAGACAGAAGCTTTGTTGATCAGATGTAAGTAGTCACATGACAGGGTGTGTGTGTAATTACCACTGCGGAGAAGGCTCTGTGCCACAAAGGTCAGACAGACAGGCTTTGGGAAAGCTGTCATCCACTTTCCTCCCACATAAAGGAAAGTAGGTATTCATCTTTCCATCACATAACTCTAAGTTACAGGGTCCCAGGCGTACCAGTGCAGTGCAATCAGGTCCAGAGTCTTCTGAATCAGAAATATCAGAATATTCAGATGATCGATTCCTGAGTTCTGATTTCATGCTTGTTAAAAACCCTGAGAAGGAAAATGATCAGAGAAAAAGAGCCATCAGAATTGGAACAAAGTGCCGTCCAAAGCCTGTCCAACTCCTTTCTCACTGCTTTCACTGTGTTCATTTCATTCTTCCCCCAAGGACTTTTTCCCTAATTAACCAAGATACACATTGAAGTGTATTCTTAAAACTTCTGTGGTATTCATCGAATATGGTTTACAACCTTACATGGGTGGGTTGACTATTATATATTTCTTCCCAGAAAAACCTCAACACTGAAATTAGCTATGATGCTTTTCACTTTCTGTTGTGCTTTGTCTGTCTCAACAGAAAACAAAACAAAAAAACTCTCCTGGGCCTAAGACACATTCAAGTAGACAGTGAATTCAACAAGCTTATAGACCAGGCTTCACCCTTGCCTCTCTTTCCCCACAGCACTTTCAGCTAGCAACTGCTGGATAAAGTTTCCATTGATCAGCTTCCTCTCCCCTGGCATGTGAACAAATGTAGAGTCACAACAATAACAGACTTATCTGGAATTAGCAGCAACTGAGGCATTCGGCATGGATTAAATAATGTTAATTATCTAGAACTTTCACTTATCAAGTACTAAAATGTTTAACTACTTTTTAAGATAGAAGGGTATATGGAGGCTCTGAAAAATGTTGAGAAAATGAAGACTTCATTCAAAGAAGATCTCAAGGAGGAGGAGGTGTTGCTATTCATTGCATTGATGGTAACCAATTAATAACCAAGTAGAGGCCTTCTTGTCAATATGCAATCAAATAAAATAATATTTGGGTTACTAATAGCTTCAGATCAGCCAGTTATGTATGTCTCCTAATACTGAAAACCATATGTATATTAGCTAAAATTATCTTGGAAATTTCACTACATTTGCAACTGCTTCATAATTTGGAGTAGAGGCCCATAAAATGCATGAGCTTTTATGTGACTCTTGTAAAAACTGTCATTAGATGAGGGTGTCACTGGCCGATGACATCCTTGTCACTAATACCACCTTCCCTGGCTGCCACCCCTCATTGGGAGGTCACATTCAGCATTTCCCTGATGGAGAGATGACTCAGAAATGCTCCAGATTTCTCAAAAGAGTATTAGGGACATAAGAAATTTTAATCCTACTACTAATTTAAGCACTTTAAAATGAGCGAGTTACCTGTCTTATTATTAGCATATTAATAATAAACAGACCTTTAAAATGACCATTAAAACAAACATACTGTTAAGTGGTTTTTGAGACTCTTCATTCTCCACTCCCTCTATTCCTAAACTCTCTTCCATCTTCACTTTGGCCTTTTTTGTCCTTCTCTTATCCTCTTCATTTTCACTGTCTGCTGTATAAAGACTCTGATCTGTGAAGGGTTGTCTCTCATCCCTGTATACAGAGGGAAAAATAATCAGTCAGAAAGTAGTGCAGCTGTGCAGCCAAACAGTATCACACCCTCCTTACTTTGCAGAGCAAACTGAGAACTGAGACACTTTCCCCACATTTCAGGCAGGTGTGCAATGGTCTGGACCCAGAATAAAATGAACAGAGGGAATCCACGGAAAACTAAACTCTCTGATACTTTGATCTATTTCACGTACTTAATTATCCTTCCATTTGTCAGCAGCAATCGAAGATCATTATCTTTCGCTCTCCATTCAGGTACTGTGGAAGATGGCTGGAGATGTTTGTTGAATTTTCCATTCAGTTTTGAGCTCAAGATGTCCTTAAAGTATAAAAACAGAACTTACTTAACCTCCACCCTCAAATATACCTGCTTGACAAGTAAAGGAGCAGGATAGCAAACCACCACCTCCCCCTGCCCCCGTCCCCACTGCCCTGCATCCTAAGAGTGCTAGGCAGCCTCCAAGGCTAGGGCATTTGCAGTGTTGCAACATGGAAACTAAATGGTTCCTAAAACCAGAATGAATGTGGTTCATCTTTCTGTAGGGCCAGTAACAGTAAAACACACTCTACAAAGCAGAATATAAAATCTGCCTCACATGAATTCAGATATTTCACTCTTGTAGAAAGCTGAAAAACTGGAGACCTACTGCCTTCATGTACTTTGAATTCGCTTTCCCTTGTTTCTCCCTAACTGCTGGGTCCTTTCCGGTCCCCCTATTTCTGACCTAATCTCTAGTCCTCCCTCCAGGTACTCTCAGCAATTTACGGGTCACCACCCTGCTACCACCAGGAACAAAGGCCACCGAGTGACATAAAGGCACAACAGTAGCTGGTTTTTAAAACATAAAGAATATTTCCTTTAATATTTTTCTTTAATAATACATAGAGGTTCTTATAATAACCTGAATCTTCTCCCAGACGGCTACAGGTTGAAGGAGGTTTAGAACAACAAAAGCTTAAAACAGTATAAATATAATTATATAAAATTTAAAATATTTAAGGAAGCTTTAATTTCTATATAACTTCTGTAAATATGTTAATTCAGAGATACTGCTATCTTTACTCATTTTAAACTGTCCTCTCCTTAAGATGTACAATCATGGATGACACAGATCTCACCACAGGTCAGTAGCATGTTTTACAAAGACCCCACGCTGAGCTCATTACTCCGTTAGGCCAGCATTTCTCAAACTGTAATGAGTTTAACAGTCTTCCAGACTAACAGTGATGCATGCTGCTGCTGCTGGGCCAGGGAAAGGCCTGCAGCACCTGCACTTTCCTCTGCCTTCAATACTCCTCCTCAAGTCTGTATATCTACCTGACGTCTTCTGCTATGTAAGTGTCTGTCAAATGCACCCACCTGAGAGGTTCTCCGACCACCTCAGCAGAAGCAACCAGCCACCCCAGCCCCTTTATTCCACTGCTCTCTTCCTTTACGACCTTTTCATCTGAAATTACACGACTTTAATACCTGTCTCTGACTTCGATCCTTCCAACTTGAGCTTGGATGGAAGCTACATGAGGGCAGGGCGCTGGGTTCTGCCCACTCTGGTAGCTTCCCCAGAGCCTAGAAGAGAACCTGGCACTCAGTAAACACTCCATATACAGGCCAGCAAACCGATGGGACCTGTTCGTCCTACTTCTACACCGAAGCAAGTCCCCATCACGAGCAGAAGTGCTGCTGACCCCTAGGGTGCTAAGCAAAGATCAGACAACAAGAATGGCCAGCCTGTTCTCTTTCTATCTTCCTTCTGAAGGCACTTCAGAAACGACTGAGTCTCTCAAGTGACCATGGAACAGAAGCTTGCCTCTTCCCAGGGACACATCTCCAGTCTTCTGAGCACCTCCCTCGTGTGGAGCTCCAGGATGTCGAGGTTGGAAGGAGTTCGGACATTGTGGTCTCGAAGTTTCCGCATCCTTCGTCGGGAATGGTATGGGGAAGCTGCTTCACTTGAGGACCGTGAAACTGGACACACAGAAGGGATTCCCTGAGATTTAACTGGTTTGCCGTTTTCCTCCTTTAAGAACAAAATTTGGGGTATTTTTATGACAAGGCCACAAACATAGATGACTAAGTAATCATCTATAAAAATATTTTAGAAAACAAAAAACATTCCTTTTAATCACATGAACAAAAAACATCAAATTATAAAACTTGAACAGCTCTGCTGAGATCTTTCCCCCTTCTCTCTGCCACCTAAAATACTGTGAACATATATCCTTGATTTTCTTTTTTTTTTTTATTTATTTTTATTAGTTGGAGGCTAATTACTTTACATCATTGCAGTGGTTTTTGTCATACATGAAATGAATTAGCCATGGATTTACATGTATTCCCCATCCCAGTCCCCCCTCCCTATCCTTGATTTTCAACATCATTTTAAAGCCTGTGTCATATTCTACTGTAGAGATATAGCATAATTTATTGACCTAATACTTAGGGATAGATATTGTTTTCATTCTTTTACTATCATTTTGGTTCCAAGAGGTGATAGTGGTAAGCAGGTATAGTCATGTATCAAGTTTAACTGGAATTGTCTCATTTACTTTATTAAAGTAATGCTAAGTCAGGTATATGCCAGTTAGAAATCATAAACTAATTTATACTTCCTATCAGCAGAGCAAAAATATAGAATTTTATCTTTGCCAATGTGATAAACCATCATTTGAAATCATAAATTATATGGTAATATGTGGTTGAATACTTTTTCACATATTGAGAATATTTTTCATATTTTTATTGAATTGGCCATTTCCATCTCTTCTTTAGTGAAATTCCTGTTTATATTTTCTTTGTACATTTTTCTACAGCCATTTTGCTGCCTTCTGTACTCCCTACCCTCCAATTAAAAAAAAAAAAAAAACCACTTTGGTGACTATTTTTGTCTAATTATTCTTCCAAGAGTATTTTACCATTTTCAATCTGTAATACTAATTTGGAATTGACATATTTTAGAAATGACACTCCCATTTATTAAACTAGAGTTTTATTTCTCTTAGTAAAGATTTATAGTTTTTCATATAGACCTACACTTTCTTACTGAGTGTATTCTTAGTTTTGGTTGTTGTTGTTATATATGATATTTATATATTTATACATTTACATATATTAAAATTAAATATATGACTTTTGACTTTAAAAATTCATTTATATGCAGCTCTTCAAAAACATAAAATAATCTCCTACTATATCTGAACATGTTGAGAATTATATGAAATACTCTATCGAAGGATATTAAACCCAACATTTTAATACCTCTTTTTTGTTTCCCAAATACAGCCCTGATCTGAGCCGTTAAACTATCAGCATCCATTCCTCCACTTAACTTCCTTTCAGTTCAAGCTAGACACTAAAAGAACCACCTTCCTGAAGAATTACTTTAATTAAAATCCCCTATCTTTAACACATAGAATATCTTCTAATTAATAAAATACCTAATCTCACACTTCATGGGCTTTTATCAAAGGGCATATACCTAACCCAGTTGTCATAATATTTTCAGTTGAATGGGTCTCCTTGCCCCAACCCTCTTTCCAATCCAGCTTCACCGGTTCTTACTCATCTTACACATCTTAACATGTATTCATCTTTGCATTGCAGAAATGAATGACATCTGAAAGTTTTGTCTATTCTGTATTTTTTCATTTTTGGAGTAACCTGAAGAACCTGAAGTAACCCGGTAACTACATCCTTATTACTTCATTATGATAAAACATTCCAGATTTCTCTGTAGGGCTTTGAAACCCTGAGACTTCTTTTGAGATACAGTTCATTCTAGTTCTTCTAAGAATGTCGAGGCTTTCCAGTATTTGTAGTATGGTGGTAGATCCAACTGCTTCTCAAGGTAGATAGGAACCAAGCATCTAGATGATAGTTTCTACTCTTACCTCTATTGCTCGAATTACTTTAGAAAGTTCTTTAATAAGATGTCCAGGTCTAACATTGTCTGGAATTTCAAAGGCATGTTCAGATACAAGCTGTATTTGGATTAACAAAGATAAGACAACCAAAGTTATTTACATTTTAAGATGTAAAAACTAATCGATTTTTAGATTCTCTAGATTTCATAGACACAGTCAAATACCAAGAAGCCAGGTCTCAGAACTCATGGAGCTGGTTTCATATCTTCTAAGGAGATCCTTATTAACTTATGAAATCCTTTTACTTTGAGTTAAACATGGACTTGTCTTTCTGTGAATTTTGCTCAATATGGACTAAAAGCCTACTGTAATTCTAAATACTACTATAATTAGTAAAGAAACTAACTAAGCCTTAAATTTAATTCATAATACAAAAGGATTTGTAAGGGGAAACACAGGCACTAAAATAATCCTAGCTTCTCATGGTAAGTCTAATTCATAAAGTCTTTTTTTTTTTTTGCTTTTCAAAAAGTAAAACAGGAAAAAGATTCCATCAATAGGAAAGAGGAATTAATTGGCGAGTTACCATATCTACCGAAGTGCAAACTGCTATCATTGTTTTATTATGTCTAATTCCAAATATTAATCTGTTTATCTAAGAACAGGCTTCGCAGGTGGCTCAGTGGTAAAGAATGCACCTGCAATGCAGGAGATGCAGGTTCAATCCTTGGGTAGGAAGATCCCCTGGAGAAGGAAATGGCAACCCCCTCCAGTTTTCTTGCCTGGGAAAGCCCATGGACAGAGGAGCCTGGTGGGCTACAGTCCATGGGGTTGAACTGAACACAACTTAGCGACTAAACAACAACAAATCTAAGAACATTTGACCTTTAGATGCCCTTAACATACTTATTGCTACTCCTGCTTTATATCCTCTCCCTGGTTTTAGCATAGTTTATTAAAACAAACTAATAATAACAGTAACACTAAGTGCGAACTATGTGCCAGGCTGAGCAACAACAAATTAAATAACAACAACAAGAAAATAACTGAGTGACTGAACAACAGCAAATGTGCCAGGCAAGATACAGCTGAGCAGTTACAGATGTTAACTCATAAATCACTTCAACACTAGACAAGAGGTTCTACTAGGACTCTCATTGTACAGGTTCGCGCTTTATCAGCAGCACGGCTAAGACTTGAATCCAAGCCTCTGACTCTGGAGTCCACACCCTGAACCACTAGGCTACTAAGCTACCTCTCAATTTAGAGCAAAGTTAACAAATAACTACAAACATCATGCTTTTAAAAGTGTACTTCAGATGTAATGAATTAACAGTATCTATTATTGATGAATTTTGTTTTTCAGTTGCTTGGTCGTGTCCGACTCTTTTCAACCCCATGGACTGCAGCATGCCAGGCTCCTCTGTCCTCACTGTGCATCAAAATCACCCACAAGTTTGTTAAAGACAAAGGTTCATAGCCTACTACAGATCTATTATACCAAAATCTCTCAGGAAAAAAGGTTATTTCTAAAAATCTCTAAAGGCAATTTTGATAAACACACACGCTTGAGAACAACTTGTCTAAAGCTTTCAGAAGGAAAGGAATTACACAGTTTTTGCAAGATGCCCTTTGTTTTTACCTTGTTATATACGATATACTTTTGTAATCTGTTTTTGCCTTTACTTGTCATTTAGATGATGACATCTTTGACGCTGATTTTTATTTTCCTATATGCTTCCACAGTGCCCCTGCTCTAACGGGTATACAGCAATGATTAAAAAAAAAAAATGAAAGGAAGCATAAAATTATTGGGAGGGTAATCTATTACCCTCAGAGAGTAAAGAATATGCAGGCAATGCAAGAGACGCAGGTTTGATCCCTGGATGGGGAAGATCCCCGACAAGGGAATGGCAACCTACTCCAGTACGGCTGCCTGGACAATCCCATGGACAGAGGAGCCTGGTAGGCTACAGTCCATGGGGTCGCAGAGTCAGACTCGACTGACAGACTAACACTTTCCAGTATCTTTTAGGTGGCTCAGTAGTCAAGAATCCGCCAGTCAATGCAGGTGATGCAGGTTTAATCCCTGGGTCGGGAAGACCCCCTGGAGTAGGAAATGGCAACCCAGTCCAGTATTCCTGCCTGGAATATTCCATGGACAGAGGAGCCTGGTGTGACAATCCATGGGGTCACAAAGAGTCAGACACAACTGAGCGACTGAACACAAGCACACAGCAAGTATCTTTTTAAGAGCAGGATTTTTATTTCAAGTGCACATTTGAGAAATTAGTAGGGAAATGTATTTTCATCAGATAAAATATTTATCACTTATTAAAGCATTGTGTGTAAAGTTCCAGGAAGGAAATAAAGATGAGAAAGTCCCTGTTTTTTAAGAGCTCATAAATGTAGACAATAGGAAATGGACACATTACTTTATGGACATTACTTTTAAGTCCACTGGCACAAGAGATATGCTATGGACATATAATGAAAGGACCTATGAATTCCAAATGGAGAGATCTGAGATGACCTCTTAGAGGTGGTAGGATTCACACGCAAACTAGACCACGGTTCAGGGAAAGTGGAACGCTCCTGCTTGAACGTGGACCTCTCTTTTCCCTTGTTCTTACGTAAGACCAGCAGAGGGGTAACAGCATAGACTTCGCAAACAGAGACCAAGCTTTCATCTTAGCTCCACTTAAGAGCTGGGCAAGCACTTAAACTCTGAATCTCAACTTCTCCATATGTAAAATGGGGACAACAAAAGCACCCCAAACTCATTTAGTTGCTCTGAAGAGTAAATGAGTTAGTAAATGCATTTACAGATATAAAGACTAAACACAGTGGTTAGCACACTATGTGAGCACAAATTTATAATTATTATTCCATATCTACATGTTAATTTCTTAGTCAATATCCCAGATAGTCTCAAATTTACTTTCTTTTCAAGATTAAAGAAATACTAGGTACTTCATTCTCATAAATATAAAACCCAGCACATCTGCATATACTACTAAAACACAGGTTGAACTTCTCAGTTAAAGCATGACTCCTAGTCCTTCTACCACCCCCACTCATTGACAAAACAGCATAAAGGCTCTGTTTTCCTGACCTTGCCATATGAAAATTAACAGTTTCCCTGATGGCTCAGATGGTGAAGAATTTGCCTGCAGCACAGGAGACCCAGATTCAATCCCTGGGGTGGGAAGATAGGGAATGGCTACCCGCTCCAGTATTCCTGCCTGGACGATTCCATGGACAGAGGAGCCTGGAGGGGCTACAGTCCATGGGGTTGCAAAGAGCCGTGGACACAACTGAAAGACTAACAATTTCACACTTTTCACTTTCCTGACCTTGCCATATAAAAATTAAGTTATTTCACCAAAGACAACTACTTACTTCTTTTTTCATCCATAATTTTAAAGCAGTATGCAGTGCTTTCACTCCCTGTACTAGGTAAGTCTGAGGCTGGACACCATCCTCTCTCAATTCTGTGGGAATGAAGTTAAGGGGGAAAGGAGTTAGGTTCTGTGGCCAAGTGTTTAACTTTAGGCTTTGAGTAACCACCAAATATCAAACAAGTTAATAGAGAGGGAAAAAAGTGAAATAAGAAACAATCAATTGACAAGATGAGAAAGGAAAGGAAACAGAACTACACTAAATACTAACTACTACCTCCATCTTACACAGCAGAACCACTCAAGACACCCACCTCCACACAGTGCTACAAGGTGTGAGATGGGGTTCTTACTACTTGTTCCTTCCAAAGAAAGTGAGCCCCCCTCACCCCTTTTAAGGAAAGAAACCATGAATGAGTTCTATCATTTAATTCTGGGCATGCTATCCTGCAAAAAGAGTCATTGATGTGCTTCTTTTCATTCTACCTTTTCTTCTTGTGCAACTTTTAAATGAGAAAACCCCCAATGTTTACAATAGACTTTGCTGTTTTATCTGTTTATACCTCTTCTTCTGTGGAAGTTAATTATAATAGTAGCACTATTTCCAAACTTACTAGAAATGTAAGACAACACAAAAACTAGATCGACTGTATTCTCATGGGCACAAGTGTAAAGCAAAATAGATAAAAGTTAGAAGTGACACTGAGTCTCCAACTTGACTGCTCAAAAATCATTAAACCAATAACAAAACACTAAAATCTGAAAAGCCACATAAAAATGTAGCTTTCACATTTAAAGGGGTATTCCCCCACCCACCCACCGCCCAAAACCATTCTTCTTCAGCCACAGATGCACAGCCTGACACTAGCTGGTTTACACTAACAGGTGCCTTATTCTGACCACATAACGGTCGTAACAGTGACAGCACAGGCACCACCTGATTCTCTCAGGACAAGAGTTATTCCCTTGAATTTTTTTAAAGCAAATGCTTGGGGACAAATATTAAGTAACAGTCTTTGGCTTCAACTGCATTTTTTCCTAGGGAGGCACTTTTACATGCCTGATAATCTGTGCAGGTGACTAGAGTCCCAGGAGAAAGGAACACTTTTCAGTACCACCTGTGTGGTTCCAATGCAGCAGTTCATGTGTTTTTACAACTATGGACTAGAGATCTCCTAATTTGTTAAAAAGGTTCTGAATAGGGGGAAATCATGCATTAAAAAAACAAAATAGGGACACTAGCCATCATATTTTTAAAAGGACCTCTCTATCAGTGACTTTAAGTGAATTTACAAATATCATGCATCACATGAAACAACAAAATGTTCAGATTCTTACCTTTTAGGGTTTCCAGCAAGTTTTTGGCTACAAACCAACATATGGCTTCAAAGAAAGGGAATTTGAAAAGATCTGGTGTTTTAAGTCTTTTTTCCATCTCATAACACCTAAAATAAAAGTTGAAGAAATTCAACATTAGCATGTCCAAAGTTAAATGGAGGCAACCAACTTAACTGAAATAAGGCAGCCCATGAGACAGAAGACCAATGGGGTCCTACACATTGCTCAACACCACACACGTGGGTAGGACTGAGTCGTGATCTGACTCAGGTCTGCCCTTATCAGACCTGACAGTATACTGAAGAATTTACACTGGGCTTCAAAAAGATCACCCCTAGGGATCTGTAGCCTAGTTTTAACAGAAGGAATTTTACAAGGGTTCCACTGTAATAAATACAACACGTTTAGAAACCAGCTCCCTGTGTTGGACAGCACTCCAGCATCCCCTTGTGGAGTTTTCTTTAGGTCCCACTAAGCATTCCAGCTCAGGACCACACTTGGGAGGGGTCAAGGTGAGAAGGCAGAAACCATTGGGTGAGTTTTCCCCAAGACTCCTTGCAACAGTCCATACAGCCAGGAGCCGTCTTTCTCCAGGAACAGCTCAGGTATAAACAAGATTCACTTGGCAAGTGAGAGAGTCTGGCTTAAAGCTTCGTGCCCCGTAAGAACCAGAATCTCTTGTAATAACTCCACTGATGCATGGCTTCCAGGGTTCCCCATGGGCATGCCAAGTTACAAGCCAGGAAAGTCAAAAGACATGGCTCCCTACCAGGTATTTCCAGTTCTCCCAGTCCTTGCGCAGTTTATCAATGAGGAATCATTTTACCATAAGCAATGTTGCCTAATAACATTCTTCTCTGATTAGGCTACCAGAGGAAGTTTTTGCCCCAAAGTCAGATTGTCATGCAGAAGGGGAAACAGTTGGTAATCCTTCACCACAGCAAAATTAAAACAGGTGTTTCCTAACTTCGAATTGTTCTGGCCCAGCCCCATATGTTACACCTGAGTCTGACCTGATTTAGTTCAATTCTCACTGTAAAAAGAGCCAAAGGAGAGCCTATCCATCTCTATAAAATTCTGAAATGTGGGGAGATATTTAGTCTCAACTTGAATAAATGATTCTTTTTGTTTTAGATTCATCAAGGTGTCCTCCTGTCAAAATTTTAAGACAATGTTTTTGTTAAAAGTTTCAAATAATTTCTCAGAGCCTATCTCCACGAGATCACAATCAAATGTGTTGCTGAAATTATTTATCTTTAACTTTCAAGTCCTATTCAAGAAAGAATGAAAAGATCCTTCAAGAGCTGATAACACAAACCTGAGCTGCATGCCAATGTTAAGGTTGTGCAGAAAGTTCCCCCCAAAAGCCATACAGTCCTGAGAAGTGAGCACAGCATGAATCCACCCTGAAACGGTTAAAAGGCTATGTCAGGGACAGTTCAATATTTAAACAACACAAATGTGATATCTACCTGTTTTACGAAACACACAAAAAATCAGTTTACCTCATACTTCAGTGCCAGAGAAGCTAATGTCTATTATGATCTAAAGATGCAATGATTCAAGTATTTATTAAATGCCTATTCTATGCCAGCTTCTGTGCTGTGTTTCAGATTAATGCATTGACCCAATTAGACAAAATTATGGTGCAGAACAGGAGGAGGTTTTGGTAGTTGTTACTGTTTTCATTTTTTAGTATAAAAACACATCTAACTTTATATTAAAGATTTTACTCTAAGACAAGTCAAATCAGGTTAGAGTGAGGCAAGCACGTTTTCATTAAATGAACAATTGGAAATGGCTGAGCCCCTGGCCTTCCTAGTGTCATCCTGAAATGACTGCCCATAGGGACCAAGCAGAGGAGGATTGGTGGGACTCCACCCAGGACCTGCCTCTAAGAAAGAAAATGTAGATCCCACGTATTCCATTAGGCAGGGTTATGGCCCTACAAATACAAACGTTGGCGATTAGAATGATATCTTCCCATAAAGCCAACATGTTTCCAAAGTGAGGCTCATTTCTTTTTTTTTTTCATTTATTTTTATTAGTTGGAGGCTAATTACTTTACAATACTGTAGTGGTTTTTTGCCATACATTGACATGAATCAGCCATGGATTTACATGTGTTCCCCATCCTGAACCCCCCACCCACCTCCCTCCCCACCCCATCCCTCTGGGTCATCCCAGTGTACCAGCCCCGAGCACTTGTCTCATGCATCCAACCTGGACTGGCGATCTGTTTCACACTTGATAATATACATGTTTCAATGCTGTTCTCTCAGATCATCCCACCCTCACCTTCTCCCACAGAGTCCAAAAGTCTGTTCTATACATCTGTGTCTCTTTTTCTGTCTTGCATATAGGGTTATCTTTACCATCTTTCTAAATTCCATATATATGCATTAGTACACTGTATTGGTCTTTATCTTTCTGGCTTACTTCACTCTGTATAATGGACTCCAGTTTCATCCATCTCGTTAGAACTGATTCAAATGAATTCTTTTCAATGGCTAAGTAATATTCCATTGTGTATATGTACCACAGCTCTCTTATCCATTCTTCTGCTGATGGGCATCTAGGTTGCTTCCATGTCCTGGCTATTATGAACAGTGCTGTGATGAACACTGGGGTGCACGTGTCTCTTTCAGAACTGGTTTCCTCTCTGTTTATGCCCAGAAGTGGTATTGCTGGGTCATATGGCAGTTCTATTTCCAGTTTTTTAAGGAATCTCCACACTGTTCTCCATAGTGGCTGTACTAGTTTGCATTCCCACCAACAGTGTAAGAGGGTTCCCTTTTCTCCACACCCTCTCCAGCATTTATTGCTTGTAGACTTTTGGATAGCAGCCATTCTGACTGGCGTGTAATGGTACCTCATTGTGGTTTTGATTTGCATTTCTCTGATAATGAGTGATGCTGAGCTTCTTTTCATGTGTTTGTTAGCCATCTGTATGTCTTCTTTGGAGAAATGTGCTTAGTTCTTTGGCCCATTTTTTGATTGGGTCATTTATTTTTCTGGAATTGAGCTGCAGGAGTTGCTTGTATATTTTTGAGATTAATCCTTTGTCTGTTTCTTTGTTTGCTATTATTTTCTCCCATTCTGAAGGCTGTCTTTTCACCTTGCTTATAGTTTCCTTTGTTGTGCAAAAAGCTTTTAAGTTTAATTAGGTCCCATTTGTTTATTTTTGCTTTTATTTCCAATATTCTGGGAGGTGGGTCATAGAGGATCCTGCTGTGGTTTATGTCGGAGAGTGTTTTGCCTATGTTCTTCTCTAGGACTTATATAGTTTCTGGTCTTACATTTAGATCTTTAATCCATTTTGAGTTTATTTTTTGTGTATGGTGTCACAAAGTGTTCTAGTTTCATTCTTTTACAAGTGGTTGACCAGTTTTCCCAGCACCACTTGTTAAAGAGGTTGTCTTTTTTCCATTGTATATTCTTGGTGAGGCTCATTTCTAAGAGATGATGTGTAACTTTTGAAAGAAAGGTCTTAGAGACCAAACATAAAGACGTTATACAAATGTAAATAAATATATTCACATACATTTGCATGGAAAAATTGACTGTTACAATAGACGGATCCCATTTTCTTTATACTTTTCATAATTCGATTTGTCATTGTTCTGTGATACAGTATCTAAAAAAGGCCAAGACGACTAGATTTCAAGTGGTGGCCATTTGTGTGCTCAAAGGCACAAAGTCTTGAGCTTGACCCTGAAATCACAAATTTGAAGTCTGTGTCGGCTTCAGATTCTGGTTTGGAGAGTTCGGGGCGGGGTGGGCGGGGCTGTCACAGGATCGGGAAGCTACGGTCCTCTTGTGAGCGGGAGCCAGGGTGCGACAGGCAGGACAAGGCCACACAGCAAGACTGTCCTGCATTGGCCAGGACTTTCAAATATCTGCTGGGCATCCAGACAGGTACAGAATCTGTCACTGACTGAGCCCAGAAATGACAGCTCCATTAATATGAAACAGCATCTTTTGCAAGGTTTTGGCACAATTTTCTAGGAACACAACTAGGTAGCCTGTACACTGAAGAAAATTTATCAGTTGCCAAATACCTTGGTGGAAAAAAACCCACACTATCTATAGCAGTGGTTCTTCAAATGTGGTCCCCAGACCAGCAGCATCAGCCTCAGCTGCGAGCTTATTAGAAATGCGAATTTTCAGGCCCACCCCAGAGCTGCTGAATCAGAACCACTGGGTTAAGGCCCAGTGCTCTGTGTTTTGGGCTTCCCAGGTGGTGGCGCTAGTGGTAAAGAACCCACCTCCCAATGAAGGAGATGCAAGAGATGCAGGTTTGATCCCAGGGGTGGGAAGACCCCCTGGAGGAGGGCCTGGCAACCCACTCCAGTATTCTTGCCTGGAGAATCCCATGGTCAAAGGAGCCTAGTGAGATATGGTCCACATGGTCGCAAAGAGCTGGGCAGGACTGAGCACACACATGCTTCGAGTTTTAATAAACCCTCCAGGTGACTCTGAGGGCCCGTGTAGTTTGAGAACCACTAATCCACACCAACGCTATCGACCCTGAGCTACCCGCCACACACCTGTACTGCCTAGCTGGCCTGTGCATCACCCTGCCTTCCAATGCTGCTGTGCCTGAGCAGGGACATTGCAAAATAGTATTTTATTATAAATTACTTCTAATTTCTTTATAATCTAATTAGGTTATTACATCAATTGGGGGGAGGGAACTATTGGTGCTGGCAGTTATACTGATGATAAATTTGAATTTAAGATTTTAAAACAGATATAACAAAATATTTACTACAAAAGGGAGCTCTGGGGGTCTTTAAGGGAGGGGTTTGGCCCATTCACAGTGAAAATATTGATAGGTATCTAGATTTTCTAAATTCTGGTAGTTCTAGGCATTTACTCATTCATTTATTCAAGACACACTTCTTATATACTCCAGAGCCAAAGCAAGAAAGCAGGGCCTGTAAGATCCGTGCAAACTCTGCAGCCATTAAGGTCACCCAAATCAGAAGAGCACAACTCTCAGATCCGCTGGCCTGCAGAAGCCATACCCCGCATTCAGGCACCTCTCAAAATGATACACCTGATGCCCGTACTTGAGGCTATAACTAAGGCTGATACTCAATCCCTTCCTAGGCTCCCTCAGAACATACTCATTTGCCTCCTAATTATCCCAGGACAGCAGCCCAGATTCCTACAGCAGCCTTGGCCTTCAACATCAGCGTAGAGCTGACCAGTTAAAAACTGAAGGGAATTTCATCAAAATTTTAAAATTTTGTGCAAAGGACATTATCAAGAAAGTGAAAAGACAACCCACAGAATGAGAGAAAACATTGCAAATCATATATCTGAAAAGGGTCTATTCAGAATATATAAAGAATTCTTACAACTCAACAATAAAAAAGACAGCCCAGCTTAAAGATGGGCAAAGGATTTAACAGACATTTCTCCAAAGAAGACATACAAATAGCCAGTATGAAAAACGCTTAGCATCGTTACTCATTAAGGAAACACAAATTAAAACCACAATGAGATACTAGTACTTCACACCTACTAGAATGTCAAAAATAAAGATGAGCACAGTGTTGGTGAAGATGTGGAGAAACTGAAATAACTGTACATTGCTGGCAGGAATGTAAAATGGTGCAGCCATTAAGAAAACAGTTTGGCAGTTCCTCAAAAAGTTAAACATCATTAAACCATATGACCCAGCAATTCCACTACTAGGTATAAACCCAAGGGAAATGAAAACAAACCTCCACACAAAAACTATCACACAAATGTTCAAAGCAGCACTATTCATAACAGCCAAAAAGTGGAACCAACCCAAATGTCCATCAGCTGATGAGGGGATAAATGAAATGTGATACATACATGCAATGGAATATTATTTGGCCATAAAAAGCAATGAAACACTAATAAGAGATACAACATGGATAAGTCTAGTAAACATGATGCTAACTAAAAGAAGCTGGATACAAAAGGTCACCTATTATATATGAAATGTCCCAAACAGGCAAATCCAGAGCCAAAAGAAAATTAGAGGTTACTAGGGGCTGAGAGGAGGGGAAGTGGGGAGTGACTGCTGCTGGTACAGGGTTTCTTTTTGAGGTGATGAAATGTTCTGGAACTAGATAGGGAGAGGGTTGCACAGTTCTATTAATCTACTAAAAACCACTGAATTGTACACTTTTAAAGAGTGTGTATTAAGGTATGTGAATTTTTCAAAATAAAAATGAAGGCAAATGACATAAAAACACAATGCCAAAACAAGTTGAACCACAAGAGAAACCCTCTAAGGGACAAAGACGTGAAAAGTTCAACATAAGAATTATCTCTCAGGCTATGCAAAGCTACTTTCCAAACATGTTAAACTCAGAGGTTCCAATCAAAAGCTGACTCTGTGATGAGCAGTTGCTATGGGGAGTGGGGATGGGATTAAAACCTTACCTGTAGGAACAAATAAGGTATGTCCCTGCTTTACCACACATTTGTAGCATTTATCCACCTTATCTCCAAAGAACACTTCACTCTGGGTCACAGATGAACTCCAAGATTCATAGAGGGCCAAATTGTCATCTGTTGGCTTTATCAAATAAAAAACCTTCTCGCCCTAGGAGGAAGTAATCACACTATTTTTGAAAAAGGAAATGCCATTCTCAGGGTGGCCTATATTGATGCAATTTCCCAATACAATGTTCTAAAGTACATTAGATAATTGTCAGATTTCTCAGAAAGACATATTTCACATGCCTGATCAACAGCTATTGCCTTTAGTAAGCATCTTCACAGGTACTAAGGCTCCCCCTCCCAATACGACAAGGGGTCAGTAAAGTCATGATGGAGAAACAGTTACAGGAGAGGAGGGTAAAGAATCACAAGCATCCTACTGATCTCATGTTCAAGGTATAGAAGTAAATACAGGTTAACGGGCCCCAGGTTACAGAGAGTCATCTCTGGAAACTATGCCCTTTCTCCCAAGACCTGTAACACTACAGCTGTTTTTAAAGACTTGTAAACAGACTTTCTTTAGTGACCTGACCCTCTGCTTTCACATGAAGCAAAAGAGCTCAAGGCACAGCATCAGAGTCCAGAGTGTTGCTGATGCACAGGCACGTGGTTTAGATGAAGATCTGGTTCAAGACTGTCACTGTCCTGTGACAGTGGAAATGCTTCCTATCTGTGCTACCCGATACAGTAGATGAAAAGCCCTAAGTGGCGACAGAGCACTTGAAATGTGGTTAGTACAAATGCCGAACTGAATTTGACATTATGTTTATTATTTAAATTTAGCCCCATGTGCTAAATGGCTACTGTATGGAATAACACAGTTCTAGATAAAGCAAGGTATATATATATATGCTTATATATATATGCTCCCAAGGAGAATTCGTAACTTTATGGGCATTCCTGACTTATCCAACTAGCTGTCTTTAGCCTGACTTTAAGATCAGAAGCAATTATTACTAACTTTGCTCCTTCTCATGTATCTGATTCACGGATTGACTGGTAATTGACTAGAGGGAAGAAGACTGTATGTTTTTGTAGTTAAGTGAACAAAGAAATACACCAAGCTTACCCAGAGGACATGGTACCAAACTGAAGTCCCACCAAAATCAATGTGGAAATCTGTGTAGCTGTCTTGAACTCCCATTAAGCAGTATTTCTGAACAAATGGCTTGGGAAAGACTGAATCATCTGGCCAATAATTTTCCACCCAGGAAAGTTTTCTGGCTATATCAGGAACCTCCACCAATTCAGACATCCTTTAAAAAAAAAAAAAACAGACACACACAAACACACACACCCACATCATGCAAATTAAAACTTCTTAAAACTGCATCTCCCATCTCAACCCCAACCAAGAAATTGACTGGAACTCAAGGCTAACAAGAATACTTAAAAGTTTGAGCATGCCAAAGCAAAATGTACAACATAGCTATATCTCTGGACCACTTTAGGAGTCACAATTATATTTCTTACTAAAATAAATTCATCATTTAACTACATTTAGCTAACACTCACAAGGCTAAATCAAAATGCCCAGAACTACTCACTTCGTATCTGAAAATTCAAGGCTGATCACATTTAACACTTTTGGTCTGTTGGGATTCGTGAAGTATTTCACATAATTGTGAAGTGTCATTTTGCTGTCTGCCTGCCTTGCCACATCAATGACATCTATCACTTTGTCACCACCTGCAGAGAAAAATTATTGTCTTATTATTTTGCTTAAGAGTTTTATCAATAGATGCCCTAAAGAAAAATATTTTAAAGACCACATTTACTGCACATGATAATTAAGCCATCTGTAAGAACTACATACCTAGACAAAGACTCTTCCTATATCCTTACTTTTTAAGTCCAACTGGAACTTCTGAACAAAGGAACAATTTTTGAAAGAATAAAGCAATTAAGACAAAGCTACATAATTAACACCGAGTGTGAAAAGTTATGTGTTTACAAAGGTTTCCATATAACAATGATTTCTTGTGCAGCTTATGACAAAAATGTATATTACATTGGCAGGTAAAAACTGTGCAACATGTTCTGGCTGTTAATTCCTGGTGATCAATAATTATAATTAATAATTCTACACAAAATGTGGACACAGACTTTTCCCTTTTACTTCTTTAACACTTAAGATTCTGAGTCCATCATTGTGAGAAACCAATCAGTCATTGGGGAATTAGTGAACAAATTAACCAGGACAAACAATTTCTGCTTGCCGGGTAGTGTCTTCTCTCCTAATACTCTGCTTCAAGAAAATAATGAAACAAAAATCAGTTCATATTATTGTCTGTGAAATGAGTTCTGAATTGGGATTAATTTACAATTTTCCTATAAAACCATGAGGTACTGCATGTACAACACTGAATCACCCTAAAAGCCAGTTAGTTTTACAATGTCCTACAGGGGAAGGTGAAATTCAAAATACGGCAATACTTAATCTGAAACAGGAAACAAATAAGTGCCAGTTTCTTACCTGAATGTAACTTTAAACAAGTTAAGAAAGTCAAATAGACTATATTATATTTAGCAGGCAAAACAATTCTGTTAACTGAAGCATTTTGCAGTATTAAAAAAGTTAGCTATCAAGTAGTGTGAACATTTTACCTACACTTTTATTACACTAGCTATTTATTTTACAATGTTATCTATACAAACAGGTTTACATGAAACCTCAGCCTCATCTTCTAATATATCAAATAATTCAAAACTAAGCTGAATGTGAAGTCAGACAATTTAACTGGATTTCCTCAGTGAAACAATTGGCAATGTCAACCAATGGATCGATAAAGGGACAAATGCTCAGATTATTTCATGCTCAGAAGATAACATACTGGAAAGAATAGACAGTTTGAGTCAAGATAGACTTGAGATCTAATCCTCAAATAATCTTTATCTGCTTTGCTGACAAGGAATGAGATCTACATAAAGTCAGCTTTCTCTCTCAATAAGCTGATGAGAATTAAAGAAGTGACTGAAAATGTCAACAATAATGCAACAGATAAAGGGTCTTCAACCCTGCTTCTTATACCTTTCTGGGACTCAATACAAAGCATTAAGTCCAAACATCATTAAATGGCAGTATCCTCAAGTCATTAAAGTAAAACTAGGTTTGAAAATAAGCTTCTCTTTTCTAGGCAGCAGGAGGTTACTAAACCAGGATCCAGAAATCTTGTACCTGAATGCTGCTACCAAGGTCTAGAACTCACCCAGTTTCCCAAAGACTTCTTTTTCATATCTGTAGCTACCCCTCTGTAATAATTTTTCCTAGCAAGTATCAGTAAATTTGAGGACAAAAGACAAATAAAGCAACAGGATGAGGCTGTACAGAATGCTTCCTTCTGTCCTTCTGAAAGTAGGTCTGCTGAGAAAGTTTTCAACGTACATGACATTGCATTTCACTTTTCCTGACCCAGAAACTGAACTAAACTAACACCTCTTCATTCAGTTTTTAGTATTTTAAGATAATATCAAGTTTATTTTTACCGTGTTTTCCCAAGCAATTAAAGGAATCAAGTTCGTACCTACATAACGTTCCACATCCATAACAGAAAAAGTTGGTGGAGGGAGCCTGAGTCCTAGATCATCTAATTTGGGAACCATTATAGGGACTTCAAATCCATGTTTCTCCAGGTATCTTTGTGTCAGCTGGCTGCCATGCATCTTTACAATGATTTCATCGGCACTAAAGAAAACATAAAAGTAAAATGTCATCTTTGCTGATAAGTTCAGCTAAAAAAAAATCTGGTAATGGATTAATTCATATGCTATATTATTACCTGTATCAGTAGTTCTCAACCTATCTCATACCTAATTTTCCTTAGTTATAATGTTTTATAAAGCTCCTGTTAGTATCCTACATATAATTGGGAAAATATATGTGAATTATATAAAATGCCTTAACTATAACAAGAGAAAAAACAAACTATAGCAAACTATGGATTGCAATATGTAAATATTCAGGTAAACAACACTAGAAAAGGTAACAGAATAACAGTTCAGTTCAGTCACTCAGTCATGTCCTACTCTTTGCTACCCCATGGACTGCAGCATGCCAGGCTTCCCTAACAGAATAACAAAATAATGGGATGCCTACAATTAGTCGTAATGAATGGTTGGATTTAAAAGAAGTAACAAGATTAGAAGTAACTCAACACATGCTGCATAGAAGACCAGAAGAACAAAAGGGAGGGGGTACAATACAATAAGAGCTGGTTAGGATAAGTAAAACCAGATCATATTTTATCTGGCTATAAAATTCTAATAAACAAATATTTATTAGACATCATAAAGTCTCCTGAGACATAGAACAATTCATGTTTTCCTGCAGACTGGAGGATGACTAGCATCCATAGTCCTTACTCATTGAAACAACATCCAAATGCCCCAGTTGAGAATTCCTGATTTAAAAGATCATTATCCTAAGTATTTAATAAATTTTAATACATTAGTCACCTTCAGTCACTAAAAACGGGTGCATTCTGGCTGCATTCTTTAATGACTAACCTGTTCTAGGCATTACACTCAAGTGAGGTTTGTCTGTCCCTTTTCACTGTCTCCTCAGTTCAGTTCAGTCACTCAGTCCTGTCCCAACTCTTTGCTACTCCATGAACTGCAGCATGCCAGGCTTCCCTATCCATCACCAACTCCTGGAGTTTGCTCAAACTCATGTTCATTGAGTCAGTGATGCCATCCAACCATCTCATCCTCTGTCGTCCCCTTCTCTTCCTGCCTTCAGTCTTTCCCAGCATCAGGGTCTTTTCCAATGAGTCAGTTCTTTGCATCAGGTGGCCAAAGTATTTGAGCTTCACCTTCAACATCAGTCCTTCCAATGAATATTCAGGACTGATTTCCTTTAGGATGGACTGGTTGGATCTCCTTGCAGTTCAAGGAACTCTCAAGAGTCTTCTCCAACACAACAGTTCAAAAGCATCAATTTTTTGCATTCAACCTTCTTTATGGTCCAGCTCTCACATCCATTCATTACTACTGGAAAACCATAGCTTTGACTAGATGGGCCTTTGTCGGCAAAGTAATGTCTCTGTTTTTTAATATGCTGTCTAGGTTGGTCATAGTTTTTCTTCCAAGGAGCAAGCATCTTTTAATTTCATGGCTGCAGTCACCATCTGCAGCGATTCTGGAGCCCAAGAAAATAAAGTCTGCCACTGTTTCCCCATCTATTTGCCATGAAGTGATGGGACCAGATACCATGATCTTAGTTTTTTGAATGTTGAGTTTTAAGCCAGCTTTTTCACTCTCCTCTTTCACTTTCATCAAAAGGCTCTTTAGTTCCTCTTACAGTTTTCTGCCATAAGGGTGCTGTCATCTGCATATGTGAAGTTACTGATAATGTCTCCTGGAAATCTTGATTCCAGCTTGTGTTTCATCCAGCCCAACATTTCATATCATGTACTCTGCATCGAAGTTAAATAAGCAGGGTGACAACAGTCTGCCTTGGCGCACTCCTTTCCCAATTTGGGACCAGTCTGTTTTTCCATGCCTGGTTCTAACTGTTGCTTCTTGACCTGCATATAGATTTCTCAGGAGGTAGGTCAGGTGGTCTGGTATTCCCATCTCTTTAAGAATTTTCCAGTTTTGTTGATTGTTCCCTAACCATAAATCAGAGATCTCTAAAAATGGAGATATTCTCAATTTTATATTCCAAATGCTCACAGAATTGCAGCTGCTATACATTGAAAGTTAAGGGCAACATTTGCATAATAGGTTAAACACAACAGTTTCCTTTTTTATAATCAGATCTTAGCTGTCTTGATGTCATCTGTAGCCTAGCTGTCAAGGAGATAACAGGAGAAACTAGGTCCCTGAATTACTGAGCTCAGATCATCCCACCTTCTCAGAAAGAGCAGGTCAGTTTAAGGCCTTAAAATATCCAGACAGACTTTCCTTGGACAGTCATGTAAGTAGAAGGCTTAGAGCTTCTTTACCTGACTCACTGAGTTCTGTATTGCCTTTTATTTTCCCCATAAATATCCCCAAGTGTTCCTTCTTCCTCAGCCTCTGAGAATTTAACAATTCCTTAAACCCAATCTAAGGGAGAATCTTAAATCTCTTGTACTCCTTCATCTTAAATGTTTGGTGTTCTACTCCTCCAAAGTGATCAAAAATATATAGGTTCAAGTGCTCAAAAATATAGGTACATCATTACTTACAAGAGAGAAAAAACTGGACCCTTTACCATAGTGGGATGGTTAAGTAAACTATGGAACATATATATGGTACATATATATATGGTACACACACACACACATACTATTGCACACTACATAGCGGTTAAAGAGTGAGATAAATTTATGTATATATATGGAAGGCTATCTATTAAATATAACAGTAAAAAAAAGCAAGTTGCACAACATATGTGTAACATAACTCCATTTTATCTTTTAAAATTAGAAGTGTATATCCATCACACATCTGTACACATAATTGTTTTTAAAAATTATCATTTACATAAAAAAAGGATCTGGAAAAACCTTTAAGTCTTAAAATAAGGGTGGAGAAGATAACCCATTCACTTTATTTTATACATTTCTACGCTAATCCCATTGAATATGTGTGATTTAGTTAATTATTGTCACTCTGTCTTAGGAGGTTTATGGAGTTAAACAAAATAAAACCAAGACCTTTAATTAATCGTAAGTACAGTGTGGACATTTGTGAGCATTTTTGTAATCTGTATTTAACTCATTTGTGTTTAACACTTTGGCAGAGAAACCACAGGAATCACTGGGCCAAGATTTTTGACACTACTCTTTTGGGTTACAAACCTATTTAAAAAAATGAAAACTATGGCCTCGCTCCCTGAAAAAATCACATCAACAATAAATAGTTTATACAGTTTTAGGGAACTCACAAGCCTCTCTGAAGCCAGCCGAGAGACACTGGCTGAAAATTTGGGCTCCAAATCAATCAATGAAAAGAAACATTTCTCCAATGACTTTGATACTGATAAAAGAGAATATCTGAAAACAGGACCTTTAATATCGCAAAAAGCACATGGAAATCACTGTTTCATATTTTTTTCTCTCTGTTACCTGCGGGAGCCAACAGAAGCCGCTTATCATTCATGCTTCTGTTTAAGGGAGGGGACTGGCCAGGTATCCTCAAGATTACAAATAAAGAGCAAGGGTTTTACACTTATAGGATCTGAAATAATTCCATAATAGGCTGCAGGTGATATTGTGATTGAAATTTGAATGGTACTTCCCCTTTTTAACAAGCTTGGATGTGATCCTGTGTAAAAAGCCTATTAAGCATTATTACTTTAAATAGATGTCAGGCAGTGAGTAGGAAATGATCTAAATTAGCATGACTAAATGCTGCATAATGCTTTTGACACTCTTCTCTTGGGCCACACAACTCAAATACATTATCTAAAAAAAAAAAAGAAAAGAAAACCTAGTCTTGCTGCCACCAGAGGCTGAGCAACGGCTGTGAGTACTTCCGGCCAAAGTAGAGTGGAGACGGATCGGAAAACAACGTAAGGGAAAAACAGCATGAAAACAGGAGCAGGTGAGGTAGAGAGGAAAGAGAAGCTGCAGGTGTACAACATAAGGAGTCAAGAACGGGACTAAGAGCCTCAGATCAATGTGCTTCAAACTTCTCAGATTGAGACCTACAGTTAAGAAACACATTTTTACACAGTAATCCAGTACACATACATATAACAAAACTTCCACGAAGCTATGCTTATTTACTATTACTTGCAATGCACCAAAATTTTCTCTTCTATTTTATCTTCAAAAAGTAAAAAGCTGGTTGAGAACAGTAATGGCTTGCAACCTGAAGCTTGAAAACGCTGCTTTAGATAATGTCACCTTATTAGGTAACATTCTTAAATGTTCTTTGGTCATAACAGGTTTCCATACCTTGGGAAGACTCGAGAACGTAGTTCCTTCACAAAAGTTCTAGTTCCAGCCTGCACTGGTTTGGAACCATCATCAATTTCTGTGTAGTCATGCCTGTGCCAGTTCCTCCTCTTTTTCACTGGATTTTGAGAAGATTGAAAGAAGAAAACATCTCTGTAACTGGTGGTACCACGTACTTTCTATCATTATAGTCTACATAATCAGAAACAATTGTTAAGTATAATAATACTCACATTTTTAAATGTATTTCTAAGGCTGAAGAAGTAAAATTTACTTTATGGAATGCTGCAACTATAGGCAGTTAACTGTGGGGTTTTTTAAATCCTTCTACTATTATTATTATTATTATTATTTTGGCCATGCCTCACAGCATGCAGGACATTAATTCCCCGATCAGGATTCGAACACGCACCCCCTGCAATGGAACCTCAGAATCTTAACCAGTGGACCACCAAGGAAGTCTTTTAAATCTTTTTACTTCAAAAATTATTTTAAAATTAAATCAAGGAATTCAAATTAGCAGATTGAGCCTTTTATAATACCCATATTTATATATGCTATAAACCTCACTACTATTTAAAATCTGGACTGTCACTAGAACATTAGGTCATAACATGATTTTTATAGATCATCCAAATCAGTCTCTCAGGACAGGGCCTTTGATCTCACATCAGAAATCTATTTTAACAGCACAGTCATTTCTCTTTTATGTCAAGATTTATTCCCAAAATAAGCATGGTTACAATGACACAGGAACAACATCATAATATAAGGAGGACAAGTGAGGTGACAGAATAAATACCGTAGGGTTCATTCTAACGCTCAGATCCTGTGAGTCTATAGCTCTGGGAGGCTAAAACTTGAGTAGGCACAGCAACCACAATCAGGACACTTGGCTTTGACTCCTAGCTTAGTCACAACGTACTCTGCGCATGTATGTGCACGCTCAGTCACTTAGTTGTGTCTGATTCTTCTGCAACCCCATGAACTGTAGCCCACTAGGCTCCTCTGTCCATGGAATATTCCAGGGAAGAACACTGGAGTAGGATGCCATATCCTCTGCTAGGGCATCTTCCTGACTCAGGGACTGAACCTGCATCCCCTGCACTGGCAGGCAGATTCTTCACCACTAGTGCCACCTGGGAAGCCCAGACTTACTCTGCAACATGTCTGGGTGCAGTGTCCTCGATGTGGAAATGAAGGGGCTGAGTTCTATTTTTCAGACTGAAGGGAATAAAAGGGAAGATGAAAAAAAATAAATAAATAAAAGGGAAGATGGAGAAGAGACTGAGGTAGGAGCTCTGGACCTCATTCATTCCTCTTTTCCTCAGGGTGGAACTACCTGCACATCTTTTGCATGGCATCGAGGTAAGATTTCAGTTTTACATCTCTCTTTTTTTTTAATTTGAAAATCACTTTTAAGCCTAAAACTTCCATAATTGTGGGAAATGCATGTAAGCAAGTGAAAGTCATTCAGTCATGTCTGACTCTTTGTGAACCCCATGGACTATATATATAGTCCATGGAAGTCTCCAGGCCAGAATACTGGAGTGGGTAGCCGTTCCCTTCTCCAGAGGATCTTCCCAACCCAGGGATTGAACCCAGGTCTCCTTCATTGCAGGCAGATTCTTTACCATCTGAACCGCTAAGGAAGCCCAGGAAATGTACTGATGTCTGTAATTTACTTAGATTGAATCAAAAAATAAGATGGGCAGTGTACAGTGGGATAATTAATGGACAAGGAACGTGAAAAGCTGATAAGTGGAATCTAGATGGTAGTTTTAGAGGTAATATTCTTTCAACTTTTCCTGTATATTTGAACATTTTCATAATAAAACCTTGGCAGGGGTGACAACTTTATGAGTCTAAGTTATTTCAAACCCTTCACCTTACAAAGATCATAATAATAAAATACTGCCGGATCCTCATACGGATAAGGAGAAGCCACATTTAAATAATCAACAGGGGTAGAAATTAGGTTCCTTCATATCTAAGTCTCAAACAAGATTCCCAAGTAATTTATGGCAGTCAGATCCTCAACATGGAAAAGAGTAAATCCCACTTTTTAAAAAACCTCATGGAGAAAACCTGACACTCATTGAGCAACCTCCCTAGAAAACACCATTAAGGCATCCTTCGTGTGTATGAGTGTGTATTCTTTCTTCCTTGCTTAAAATCACTTCTAGGGAATTCCCTGGCGATCCAGTGGTTAGGACTCTGTGCTTTCACTGCTGTGGGCCCTAATTCGGCCCCTGGTTGGGGAACTAAGATCCCGCAAGCCTCGCTACACAGTCAAAAAACAAAACAAAACAAAACTCAAAGGTATATGATTCAAAGGTATTTGATTCCAGGCTTTTTGCTTACATATACACAGATATATAACCCCATTTTATTTTCAGCTGGGATCATAATATTTATGCTTATCTTTACTATCATGGGCATTTTGTCCTTATTAAATGCTCAAAAACAATTTAAAGGCAGCCTAGAGTTTTAAGATGTAAATGAAGATGAATCTTTAAACAAAGATGAAATTAATATTTATATACATAAGTCTGTTTCTGGCTACATACTACAAAATTGCCTCCAGAAAAGTAGTAGGTAACCTATTCTCACCAATATATATGAGCAACCTGGTCAACAGCGGGAAAGAGGGAGGAAGGGAAAAAAGAAAAAGAACAAACTGCCCATTTGAAAGTTAATAATGATGCCACATTGTTTTAATTTTCATTTTGACATAACAGATTAGAATTAAAACAGATTGGGATTGGACAGCTACGGGTTCAAACTCCAACTCTGCCAAAAAGCTACATCATAGACCTAGTAAGATCATTTTTCTCACATCAAGGTGTTACAAATATCAAAAGAGATAACATAAATCTATTAACAGTACTTCTCAGCACAGTGTCTGGGGCAACCAATAAGCTGCCAATTACTTTTCTTTCCTTTTAAATGTGTTGACTTGCAGGATGTTAATAGAAGACTACACTGTGCTGTTGGACCAACATCCTCAACACATCAAATCAGCCACTGCAAGAGCTGACTGGATTTCTCAAAGGAAGGAGGCCAGCCAAAGAATATTTTAATAGTGGTCATAGGGAAAGGAGAGAAAATTTTGCATTTGGATTGCATGTGCCTGAGGAGCACTGAGAATATATGTTTAAGTATTGGGCTGGGTTTTTTGAGACTGGGCCTCGAACAGAGTTCTTAATCCCCGTTAAGAAGGAAAGTTTAAATTCACCATATTAATGAATATTTTACTGTCCAAATGGAATCTGTAGTAAGGATTCCTGGGGAACTCTGAAAGAAACAGGAAATCTTTGGTAGCAAGTAAGAGAGGCTTAAGAGCATAGAGAAAACGTCCAAAAGGGATTACCCAAACTAGGTGTGAGGTGAGGATGAGGGGTGGGGAAATGGAACGTTAAACCGGGATAAAACAGATTGCTGGATCTGTGGCATTTTTCTTATGGGTACTTAAGAGTTGGACTTTTTGCCCAGAAGACAGCCCATGCCTAATCTTATGTTATTCACAGATGAGAAGAATATGAAAGGGCAGGTAATAGTCAAGCTCCCCTCTGAAGCATTGTTATTCAAAGTGTAGCTTCATGATCTATTATGGATTGTAAAATCAATTTAATGAGCATGACAAGCTTTTAAAAAAATTAAATCGCACAGGAAAAAAGAAAATAAGAGTGCATTACATGGAGCAGTGTTTTAAATACTACATTATTCTGATTCATAATAACCTATATAACATTTCATAGAAATTAAATTCAAATTATTTCATTTGGGGGTTATTTACTTAAATTCTAAACTGAAACTTACATTTCAGTTCTGTTTCTCTTCTTGATATTACAAGCCAGTATTATTTATTTCCTCCAAGAATTACACTTGGTCAATAATTACTTCAAGTTATATACTACATACTTCAGCGCTACACAAAATATGAAACTTTATAAACATTTATGGGACTTCCCTGGTGGTCCAGTGGTTAAGAATCTGCCCTCCAGTACAGGGAAAATGGGTGCGATCCCTGGTTGGGAAACCAAGATCCCACATGTGTGGGGGGCAACCAAGCCCATGTGCCACAACTAGAGAGCCTGCGCTGCAATTACCGAGCCTACTCGCCACAAAGAGCATGTGGGCCACAACTAAGACCCGACGCAGCCAAGTATATAGATAAGTAAGCATCTTCTTTAAATTTGTGACAATAAGTCAATTATACATGTAACAATTCAACCAACTTGCTAACCTCAAATTTTATACTGCATAACTAACAAAAAGGACAACCTATATTTTACAAAAAAAATTTCAATAATTTATATAGCTTAAATTGTTAAATCTCTTAGAAACTAGGTAAATTATTAATATTTCTAACAGAACAGGTAAGCAGTCAGTTGCTACTAAGTCGCTTTTGAAAAATCACTTGCCCATAATCAGAGAACACAATTTCTACTTTAAAAAAGTACTAGGGAAAAAACTGAATTCAGAAAAAGAGACTGTCTACATTACCCACATCTGATCCAAGTGTGTTCAAGGTATGTTCGGGAAAAGTTAGTTCTAAAATGATTAAGTCTATAGTTTCCCCTTTAGTTTTACGAACACAAAAATGCTAGGATGCAGTCTAAATTTTTAAGAGAAGAAATAGTTAGAATATATTCCAAAGCCTCTTAAAAATCGCTTCTCTACTCTCCTATCTGTACGATAACTAATATTCCAATATATTCTGAAGCTTTTGTAAGAGGCTAGCAACAAAGGGGACGACAGAGGATGAGATGGTTGGAAGGCATCATCGACTCAACGGACATGAGTTTGAGCAAGCTCCAGAAGACAGAAAGGACAGGGAAGCCTGGCGTGCAACAGTGCATGGGGTCGCAAAGAGTCGGACACGACCGAGCGACTGAACAACAATCTCCTTGCCTATGTGTTGCTGGCGCACTCCAGAAGACGTGTGAGCTTCCCTGCCTGTGCCCGTGCCCCTCAGAAAGGACAGTGTGGGCAGAGACTTGGTCTGGCCTCTGTCCTTGGGACAGGACGACTGTGAGGAGGTTACTTCCATCATAGAGGACCGCTAGACAGGACTCTAGGCCATACTCAACAGCCAGACCTAATTCAGACAACAGAAGTAACACCTTGGCATGTCAGTACCCTAATTTTTTCCTCTAAGTGTACTGCACATGTGCATTAAAGTCTTGTCCTATACACTGTCCCAAATAGTACTGATTATTTTCTTCTTCTTTCAGTTTTATTGGGATATAATTGACATACAGCAATGAATAAGTTATACAACATAATGGTCTGACTGACATACATCATTTCATGATGACCACAGTAAGTTTAACGATTATCCATCATCTCATGTAGACACAAAATAAACAAAATAGAGAATTTTTTCCCTGTAATGAGAACTCTTAGGATCCACTTTCTTAACAACTTTCACAAAGAACATACAGCAGTGCTGAATCTTATTTACATGTTGTACAGCCCTAGTACTTATTTATCTTATAGCTGGAAGTTTGTATTTTTTGATCACCTTCATCAAATCCTGCCCCCTACCCCCCACCCCTGTCTCTGGTAACCACAAATCCATTCTTTTATGAGCCTTTGTCTTTGAAACATAAATGGCCAATAACTCTGTGTTAGTTTCTAGTACACAACATAGTGATTCAGTATTTCTATACATTTCAGGATGATCACCAGTAAGTCTAGTTACAATCCTTTTTAAAAAAACATTTAGAGATAAAAACAGCCAGGATCAGAAAAAGTTTATTTTACTTCTCAAATTGAAAGCTATGAAAAATATGTGTTTTGAGTTTGGAGCTTTGCACTGGCAATTAAGAACAATAATTTTTTTCACTTAAAGCTTTGACTTGTTAAATAAGTCAGTAATTCAAACAAAAACTGTACTCTCGATTTTTCTGTACTCCAGAAAAATCTTTCTTATAGTTCTTGGTGGGTATAATAAAACTAGCCAGAGTATCATTAAGTATTGTCATGTATATATTAAGTTCTAAATTCCAATTTTGATTTAAGCTTCTAGTACTCACTCAAGGAGGAGCCATGCAGAAGTGCACAGTTGGGACAGTGATACAGGTCAATGTCGACGGCATGATGTTCTTCTACTCCAACACAGCTAAGGCAAAGAAACATAAGGCCAAGATGTAAATAAGGTAAAAATCTTTACTTAACTATAATAGATTGGTTAGAATCTAGCTAAGAAATGCACAACAATCTCACCAACACATTTTGAAGAGTACAGAAACACATGTAAGAATAAACTTCATTCTCTTCTCTGCATACTGGAGAAATGTCAACCCACTCCAGCACTCTTGCCTGGAAAATCCCACGGACGGAGGAGGCTGGCAGGCTACAGTCTATGGGGTAGCAAAGAGTCGGACACAAGTGAGCGACTTCACTTCACTTCTGCATGCTGGAGTGGGTAGCCTTTCCCTTCTCCAGGGGATCTTCCCAACCCAGGGATGGAACCCAGGTCTCCCACAGTGCAGGCGGATTCTTAACCAGCTGAGTCACCAGGGAAACCCAAGAATACTGGAGTGGGTAGCTGATCCCTTCTCCAGCGGATCTTGCCCACCCAGGAATCAAAGTGGAGTCTCCTGCACTGCAGGCAGATTCTTTACCAGCTGGGCTACCAGGGAAGCCCCTTTTCTCTGCATATTTGCTGAATAATTGTGGGGGAGAATATACCCAAATACATGGGCAGTGATTCACTATTAGCAGCAGTAGAGACAGCAGAAGTATAACATATTTATAACATAATAAGTATATTTTATTTTATAAATATATATTTTATTTATAATGTTATAAATAAATATAACATAAACCGTAAGACCCTCAACCATTATGTAAATGCTACCTGCTATGGACTCAGTGTGTTTGTGTTCTTCCAAAATTCACATGCTGAAGCTGTAAACCCTGGTGTGACTATGTCTGGAGATAGGGTCTCTAAGGAAGTAATAAGGGTTCAGTGAGGTCATAAGGAGGGGGCCTTAATTCAACAGGATTACTGTCCTTTTAAGAAGCAAATCCAGAGAACTCACAAACCCTCTCTCTCTCTCCAGTCTCTTCTCTCTGCCTCCCTTTCCTGGGTAGATTAAAACACCACCTAACTGTAAAATATGGTCATCATCAGCCAGGGTGACTAGCAAATTTAGGTAATGTCACTGACGTGGCGAGAGCACTGAGTCCTAAAAATTCTGCATTAGGTCTCATACCCCTAATTAACCAGTTAAATTAGTTTGAGGCATTGTATCTGGAATACTCTATTCCATGGAGTATACAGCAGTAGCATTTAAATAAAGATTGAGGGAACTAGGAACTTGAAAAACTATATAGTGACATCTTGAACACAGGAGTAGTTCATCAATCAAAGACCACAGCAGCTTTGCTTAACTTTCTAAGTAATTTATTAGGGTAAAATTCTACATGTCTGTATTCCCCAAAAGTGTCAGAACAAAAACAGAACCACAACTAGTACCTGAAAAAGAGCCAAAGCAGCACTAACACAGAATTTGGGGGTATCAGTTGATAGGTGTTACAGTGGAAGAGAAAATCAGTGAAATGGATGGTGGTCACATTACTCAGAAGGCAGCAAAGAGAATAAGATGACAGGAAACACAAACAAGAGCGTGAGAACCATGAAGGAGAGAATGAAAATGTAACATACATTTAACCAGAGCCTCAGAAGGTAAAGTAGAGAGAACAGGGGCAGAAGCAATACCATGAGCTAACAGCCACAAATTTGCAGAAATAATGAAAGACACTGATCTCCAGATTTAAGAAACCCAACACATCCCAAGCAGGATGAATAAAAAGTCAACTCACATCACAGTAAATCTGTACAAAACAAAATTTGGGAAATTTCAAAGCCATAAGAAGAAAAAAGCACAGATTACACGCAAGGATGAGAGACTTCTCAAAGAAATAATGAAAACTGGAACACATTAGAATACCTTACATGTGCTTAAAGAAACAATCTGCTAACCTAAAATATCTATTAACTGAGCATTCAATATTCAGTTAAAATGTGTTTCAAGAAGGAGGGGGGAAAGAAAGAAGCTATACAACCAAAACAGAGTTTACCCCCAGCCAACCCACAGTAAAGAAAATGCCAATGGATGTACTTCTGGCAGAAGGAAGACGGTCACAGACAGGTCTGAGATGCAAGAAAAATGGAAAAGCCAAGAAAAGTAGAGCAATGTCTCTGACAGAATACGTAGGCAAATCACAATCTATGAAACATACAAGGTTTGAACTGCAGAATTAAAAAAAAAAATTACCTAATGAACATTTATAGAACCCTACACCCAACATCCATAGAACACACCCTTCCTCTCAAGCACACATGGACCATTCTTAACAAGCAACCACACACTGGGCCACAGTCAGTTTTGCAGGTGTGAAATCAGAAATTCTCTGGCCACAGTTCAGTTAAGAGAGAAAGCAATGACAAAAAAGGTAACTAGAAAATCTTCATGTGTTTAGAAATTAAGAAATAATATTATAAATAAGCCAAGTAAAAGGATAAATCATAACAAAACTCTAAAAATTATTTTGAGCTGAACAGTAATGAAAATGCTAAATAACAAAATGTGCCAAATGCAGAACTTGCAAACAGAAATATATAACTTTAAATATATGTATTACGGGAAAAAGAGGTTAAAATTAATGAAGTAATAAAATCTACCTCAAATAGTAATAAAAAGAATAGCAAAATAAACCTTAAACACACAGACAGAAGGAAAACTAAAAGAGCAGAATTGACTCAGAAAACAAACATACAATAGAGCACTGTAGCCAAAAATTGATTCTTTGGAAAGACTTATAAAATTGTCAATCCTCTGGAAAGCTTATGAAAAATGAGATAAAACATAAATAACCAATGGTAGGAATGAAAAGACAGAGAAAACTATAAATTCTATAGATACTAAATGTAAAAGAGGGTATTATGAATGATTTTATGCTAAAGGATTAGAAAATATAAGACAGGCAAACCTGAGTCACAAAGAAAAAATATTTGCATAGTCCTAAAATTGTTACTTATAACATTAAAAAGTTATCGCCCCCTTCAAAAATTCCCAGGCCCAGATGGGTTCACAAGAAAGTTCTAGTAAGTATTAAGGGAATAAATAATTCCAATATTATAAATTTGCACAAGCAAGTAGAAAAAAAGGACTTACTTTCTAACTCATTTTATGATAACACGACCTTGATATTAAAACTTAGAAAAGATGATAGAAGAAAGAAAAACTATAAGCCACTCTCAGTTGGAAATATCAAGTTTGGTATATCTCAGGAATGCAAGGTGGTTTTAACACTAAACAAAATTTAATCTGTGAAACTTGCCACATTAAACAGATTAAAAGAAAAACCCACATGACTGTTTAAAAAGGAGCAGGACAAGTATTTGGTAAAACATTTATTTCTGACTAAAATGCAAACAAAATTCCTTAGAAAATTAAGACAAGGATACTAACTAAATCTATATTACTAATACTTACTAAAGGATTCTTATAAAACTCCTAAGCAAGTAACATGAAAGTAGTCTCGGGACTTCCCAAATAAATTAATAAATTTTTTTAAAAAATCAAATTAAACATAAAAATTAAATATCCCTAGACCAAGAAAGTTATTTCAGATCTTTAAGTAGATCTAAAAGGAATGACATACGTTTCAGTCTCCTCAGAAGGAAGGATAACTTCTCCCACTCCTCAGCCCCCATTAAAAAAATTCTACAGTCACTAAGATTTCCCTGATGGCTCAGTGGGTAAAGAATCTGCCTGCAATGCAGGAGACCAGGGTTCGATTCCTGGGTCGGGAAGATCCCCTGGAGAAAGGAATGGCTACCCACACCAGTATTCTTGCCTGGAAAATTCCATGGACAGAGGAGCCTGGCAGGCTACACACAGTCCATGGGGTCGCAAAGAAGTCAGACATGACTGAGTGACTAACACTTTGACTTTGCTAAGTCCCTACAGCTTTAACAGATATGTTAAGAGCAAATGCAGTGGGACACATAAGATGCAGAACTCCGAAAGCAAACTTTCTAAGAATAACTTTCAAATCTCCTTCAGTCTCTCATAAAACCTTCCTTCATATACCAATCACTCCATTTTCTCCTAATGGCAAAATGCTCAGCGTTTCTTAGACTGTTGTGAGTGTGTGTGTGGAGGGGGTGCCTTCCTGTGGGGGTGACAATCTGACCTTTGCTGACTAGCTTCCATCTACAGAACAGCCTCAGTGCCTTTTGGTAAGTGGGACAGTGACAACTTTAGCACTTTCTATTGTCTTAACCTTCTGAAATTGTTGCTTAGCTAGCTTTTTTTTGTGTGTGTGTGTGACACTTGACAAGAACAGAATTTAATTAATGACTAACCAGGATTCCCTGGGATCTGCCAAACATTCTTTTTTCTCCTCCTGGATAATGCTCCCATTTATATTCCCTCCTCTCAATGTTAGAAGAGTTGGAGGCCAAATTTTTAAAGATCTTCCTGCCAGCAGACTTCATTAGATATTCCTCTTGCTTCAAATCCTCTCCCCATTCCTCACCAAGCAATCTTACAGACTCTCCTTGGTGAAACTTCACTGGATCACCCCACAGAAAGTTCTGCAACACTTTATTCACACACATCTCCACTCGTGGATGTCTAATACTGAGCTGTTTTACATACCTTACTTCCTGACTTGAGCTCAGACTTCTCCCAGGATCACTTATAGTGACCTCTCAACATGATGATCCCAGTAAATTTTTTATGATTATTAACTGTGCTGAAAACTTATTTGAAAATCGATCCATTGTGGCAAAGTTACAAGCAAGTTAAAAAAAAAAAATGTCCAGCTTGAATTTCTGAAGAATTTGTATAGGAACTAAAGGCAACACAATCTGTAAAAAAAAAAAAGGGCGGGGTAGGCGGGGTGGGGGGTGGGAAATGATCTTTCAACGTATGAATTAGTAGATTTCTCATCTTTCCTTAGATGGTAGAAGGATGCAGTAATGAAATTCATTAATTTACAATTTTGCTTCATTGCAAGTTTTCACCTGTGTTTCTTTTTTTTTTTTTCTCTTAGTTGAAGGTCATGTTTGTACGTGTACGTGTGTTCTTTTTTTTTTTTTTT